TCAGACACACATTTAAGTATCGACCGTGTAATTGTTTAACGATTACAAACGAGTAATCAAACAGCGTACGTCTATCAATATTCGATCGCTGAAACAGTAGTCTAACACTCGATGCTGAGCTAAACGATATTACTACTTTTCATAAAACGTTATATTTATAGTGGTATTGATCGACATGTAAATAAATGGTATCGATTCCAAACCCAACTGTCTGTTCTATTTCTGTGGGTTTTTTTTTCAAGAAGTCGATTATTTTATCGTAGAAACGGTGGTAGACGGCGCGACTAGTTTATTTTGAGTTTATAACAATGTCATTAAATAGTTTACTCGTCATGTGGTAGTGGGGAAGGGGGGGGGGGGGGTAATCGACTTAAGTGGTTTGTGTGTGGGTTTTGTAAGGGGGCGGGTGGGGTTGGTCGACTAGAATCGAGCATAGTATAGGGTTGTGGAGAGACGATTGTAAGGGTTTGTGTGTGAGTATGTAAGGGGGCGGGTAGAGTTTGTCGACTAATATCGTGTATAGTTTAGGGTTGTGGGTAAACGACTGTAAAGGGTTTGTGGCTGTTGTCGTGAGAGGGTTAGTGTGATGAAGGTGATGATGTTGGTGGAGTGCATGCTCGATTGGTGATGGTGTGTGCTTACATCGGCGTGCCCTAAGAGTCAGATGTTTGCTTACACGGGTGTATACGAGGGCCTGGTGTGTCTGTTTACACAGGTGTGTGTTTAGATCAGGTCATGTCTAATTACAAAGGTGTAGATGAATTATTGCTTGCAGAGGTGTAGACTAGGGTTTGAGGATCTGAAAAAACCACAGGGCCTTACCAATGACAATGTCTGACCACTAACAATTTGTGACCACTGACAATTTCTGACCACAATGTCTGACCACTGACGATGTCTGACCACTGACCATGTCTGACCACTGACAATTTCTGTCCACAATGTCTGACCACCGACAATGGCTGACCCTTGACAATATGAATAAGATACCTTGCTAGAATGACGCAGGTAGGTTTAACCGACCTCCACACAGTTGCGTCATCATCACGCTTAGATGGTTACGTTCATCATTAAGTCACAGTTCACTGAACTCGGTAACTCTTACAACTTTATGCTTGGGTCTAGCCTCTTGTTGAGACGTGGATTACTACAGTTTTAACACCCCCATCCCACCCCCTACTCTCGTCACGCCTACGATTATAATAGTAAGATCACACCCCATAATGCAGACTAGAGGTCATTCACCCCGCACCCAACCAGCCCCCCTCCCTGTATTGATCCATCCCTAGTTACTGTCAAATAACATTAGAACACACACACAAACACAAATACACACCTACACAAACACTCACACACATCCGACCCTCCATTAAAAAAAACAACTTAAACAGCCACAAGCCTAAGCATTTTGCACTCTAATCATTTTTTCCCTCCCCTCCTAAAACTCACAGCACCTGATTGTGATTGGTGCTCTGGACGGACGGACATCGTCTGCTCATTTCATTTCCAGAGATTTACCGCGTTTATCAAACAGCACGACAGGAAATGACGCGCGCTGGCATCAAACTGCCATGACGCCATTCAATTGGAAGAACTCGCCGCCGCCCGTTACCCAGACAGCCCTGATACTGGGCAGACGAGATCTTCACGTCTGCTGGGGATTTTATTTAGTGTAAGCTTCCTACGGATATCATATTATATCAGGTGTAAGCTTCCTATTGATATCGGATTTTAAATGGTATAAGCTTCCTACAGATGTCAGATTTTATTTGGTGTAATGTGGGTCGGTGTGGTTGAGAGGGTAAAGCTCATGGTTGCTAAACCAAAAATTCTCGAGTTCGAACCCTCGGACAGATGAGGCTCGTTAGCTGGGAATAACCACTCCTCTCTAGGAGAGACAACTCCAAAATCAAACAACTGATGAATAGTAGTTGGTTCTTGGTTGGACAAAGGCTATGGAACCAAATTCCAAAAAGAAAAGCAGGCTGGAATCGGAGTCAATGGCCTCAATAACCTCATAGCCAGTTGACACTTATACTTAATTGTGTTGGAGGGGATCCCTTCCAACACTAAAATTAAGAAAGAAGAAGAAGCAGACTTGATTGATTTGTTTCACAGTTAACACACTTGTTATCTTCCTCAAAATGAAAGATGCCAAATTATTTATCTTTGTCGCAAATCAATGTTCATATATTTTAGTCAGCCTTTGTATGCCACATATAATTTTTAGTAAACAAACATTTCCAAATTTACAGTCAAGAAATATTTCTTTTTAAAGTGTAATGAGAAAACCTGCAATGTTTCTATGAAACCCTTTAATCGAATCACAGTATTTTTCTGTGGTAATTTTTACCCGACATATTTAAAAAAAAAATTACATATTTGTTTTTAAAAGTACAATTAAAATTTACCGTTTTACGTCCTCGAATACGAACTATAGAGGAAGCATTGTAATCGTGCAAAAAATCGAAATCGAGTTAAAATATCGACTGTTTACACCTCTTTGAGTCGGAAAAACTTAGTTGTCTGTCTGTCGGTGTGTCTGTAAGCACGATAACTTGAGTGCAGTTTCAGTTATGTTGACGAAATTTCATATAACATATATAAAATTTTCAGATCTGTATCAACTTTTGAACGATTTCCTGTAACCGGAAACGATAGTTACTCCTTGTTTCACTCTAGTACAATTACTTTCGGCACGATTCACGACAATCCTGTGTTTTGACTATCTAGATGTTTTCCATCTCTCGCTAATTTTATCACACCAACAAAAAACACGATCTTACAGTAATATCCCACCACCCCATCCAATATTGTGGTAAATTCCGTATGGAATCCTGCCATTTCCACCTGATGTTTCCGAATAGGCCCCGAGGGTGTTGGGCCCGCGGGGGACCATTAGACTTACATCAAAACACGGGGAGATCGACATTGTTGGAAGATGTTGTGGGAGGGTTGGGCTGGGGGTGGTGTTGTTCACGTGAATCTCCGTTAAGTCGTTAGATGGCCGTTTGTCTATTCAATAATGTATCAGCCCCTAGTGTGTTGGTCAAAGTAGTCTGACTCATTAGCCGAGTCATTAGGCTGACCTTGACCCCACAGCTGATTACCCCCGGCCCGGGGTGAGCGCTGGTCAAATATTGAATTGACCTAACAGCTAATTACACACGAAATGGTTATTGATCCACCGAGAATTGGCTTCGGTGTGTGGAGTGGGCAAAAACAGTAGTGGCACATCTGCCTGTCTCACGTTAATGGCACATCTGTCTGTCTCACGTTAATGGCACATCTGCCTGTCTCACATTAATGGCACATCTGCCTGTCTCACATTAATGGCACATCTGCCTGTCTCACATTAATGGCACATCTACCTGTCTCACGTTAATGGCACATCTGCCTGTCTCACATTAATGGCACATCTGCCTGTCTCACATTAATGGCACATCTGCCTGTCTCACATTAATGGCACATCTGCCTGTCTCACATTAATGGCACATCTGCCTGTCTCACATTAATGGCATATCAGCCTGTATCACATTAATGGCACATCTGCCTGTCTCACATTAATGGCACATCTGCTTGTCTCACGTTAATGGCATATCAGCCTGTATCACATTAATAGCATATCTGCCTGTCTGATAAGATAGCAGTGACACATCTTTCCGATTTTCATGTGTCATATTAATGTATTAAATGTGGTAGGTACAGAAGATATGCTTAAACACATAACACATCTTCCCTACCATACATCTACCATACATCTACCATACATCTACTTTACCACACATCTACTTAACCACATAATCGCTATGCTTATTAATACGCAACTTGAAATCGTACTTACTGCAAGTCCGCAACCATTTGATCTTCTTTGTTGGTCAACTTTGTTTATTTTATCCATGTGTACGTCTTTGTAATAGTACTTTTAATTTGTAGCATGCACAGTGGGTGTCCGTGTGTGTGTGTGTGTGTCCGTGTCCATGAGTGTATGTGTGTCCGTGTGTGTGTGTGTGTGTCCGTGTGTGTGTGACCGTGTGTGTGTACATGTGTGTGTATGTGTGTACATGTGTGTACGCTTGTGTGTCAGTGTGTGTGTACGTGTGTGTGTATGTGTGTGTCCATGTGTGTATACGCTTTTGTGTCCGTGTGTGTGTACGTGTGTGTGTATGTAGGTGTCCATGTGTGTATACGCTTGTGTGTGTGTACGTGTGTGTGTACGTGTGTGTGTGTGTCCGTGTGTGTGTATGTGTCTGTGTATGCGGGTTAAGAAGTCTGCTGTTCAATTGTTCCTTACAATGCCAAGAAAAAAACAAACAATGCGAGTATTTGTATTCCGCGTATCTGTCCGCCTTCTGAGTTGAGTGAAAGACATCGATAAATCAAAACGTAATTGCCGGTTTGGACTTTGCCATTTTAACTGCACATTTTAATTATTTGTTTTTTTTTTCAGAACTCCGTGTGACGATGTTGATGCCTGCTGTCCAGTCAACTCTTGACCTCACAACGTTTGTGGATAGCCAGTCTATCTAGACCTCAAGTGCGTGGATAGCCAGTCTATCTAAACATCACGTGTGTGGATAGCCAGTCTATCTAGACCTCAAGTGTGTGGATAGCCAGTCTATCTCGATCTCATGTTTGTGGATAGCCAGTGTATCTAGACCTCAGGTGTGTGGATAGCCAGTCTATCTAAACATCACGCCTGTGGATAGCCAGTCTATCTCGACTTCACGTTTATGGATAATAGACTTAACGTCACGTTTTATGGACAGTGATGGGAAGGGGTTGGCTAAGCTACTTCGCATAGTTTTGGACCATAAAGCTGTGTACCAAACAAATAAAAACTGTGCAGTGTGTGCTAGCTACCACAAGTCTGGAGTTTTGCCTGAAGGTTGTGACGAACATTTCTAAGCTTTTTTCCATCAAATGTTGGATTAGAAGGATTTTGAGAAATTCTTGAGTATCAGCTGTGTAAGGATACATTTTTTTCGTGTTTATTTAAATAAAAATATTCCCATACCTTCTACGTGACCTAACCATGGGCCCAACTGGCCTGAGTTTTGTGCCCCAGATGACGTCATCTACCCCACCCCCAGTCGGGACCTGGGCAGGATGAGCGCCAGACCCGAGTCGGACGATGCCTCGTCTCGCATGATGCTCTCCGTGGGCCGAGCCCAGGGCGACGCCGACGACCGGAGGGATGGCGACAGCAACAGCAGCTTCGGCGGCAAGGGCGGGGAGGACGAGGAGGCCAGCAGCCGCAAGCAGTACCGGCTTTCCCCCAGCACCCCCGAGGCGCCGGCCGCCCCGAGCACCCGCGTTAACATCAAGCGGCTGCTCAAGCGGAGCAAGTCGACCAAGAACGGCTACCCAGGCATGTTTTCCCACTCGCTGGAGGTCGAGTACTCGCCCTCGTCCTCGTGCACGTACCCGCCCTCGATCGAGGCCCGGGGGTTGAACGCCACGGTGGACCGGACCTACAACAAGATGCTAGAGAGCAAGATCGTCTCCTCCCGTCTGCACGCCAAGACCTCCGTGCAGGGGAGGATCTACAACTTCCTGGAGCGACCCACGGGCTGGAAGTGCTTTATATATCATTTCACAGTGTAAGTCAGATCTTTTTATTTATATGTATTGATGTTCTCACTGTGGCCATTTCAAGCCTTTAAGTATAGTAGTGTCTTACACTGTCTAACGGTGTCTTTGTTTTAAGTCTAATGGCGGGAAAGTGTTCTATATCATTATACAGCCCTATACTTTGAAAAAAAAAGTTAAGCTTAAGTTTAATGGCTTTTTGATGACTAAAAGATGTCCACTGTACATTCTTTATTCACACTACCTTACGAGAAGCTCCATGCTGTTTTGTTTTTTAATCTCATGTACAACATCGCCGTCCCGCGAGATTTTATTCAGGGGAAGTCACTGTAGAATTTACGCATGTTCTAAGTAATCTGTTGTTGTTATAGTTATATCAAACTTATTTGGTGGTGTGTGGGGGGGGGGGGGTGCTAGATCTGTAGCTTTATACCGCAGGTGCCGTCAGTTTCAGCTCATTCAGTTTTTAAAACTTGCTTCTCACTTTTGTTTAGTTTTGATGACGCATGAACAGGTAGGTCGATTTGTAGATCTATGTTCGATTGTATAATGGAAGTGAAAACGTGTGCGTGCTGACCCAAGACAACTAAAGAGTGCTAGCTTGGTAGGTACATCTTGCTCTAGTGTTGTAGGTACCCTAAGCTCACGAGTTGGGTAGGTACATCTGGCACTAGTTTTGACGGTGCCCTAAGCCCGGCTCACGAGTTTTCTCACGTGCTGCGTATTGCCGCCACCTTGTATTTTACCTTCTGCTCGCGTTTCCTACCTGGCATATCTCAGGTGTCACGTGATGATGTAACATACGGCGTGGGTGAAGGTCAGGAGGTGATCCTATCACGTGATGAGGCAACACGCGCGGTGGGTGGAGATCGACCTGTGCGCATCTGTGGTGAGCAGTGCACGTGACCTCGGTGTGTCGTGTGCCCTCTCCTACAACATCTCACATATCTACACCATGGTACAAGATCCCACGTGACCTACACCACGGTACAAAATCCCACGTGACCTACACCATGGTACAACATTCCACGTGACCTACACCATGATACAACATCCCACGTGACCTACACAATGATACAACATCCCACGTGACCTACACCATGGTACAACATCCCACGTGACCTACACCATGGTACAACATCCCACGTGACCTACACCATGGTACAACATCCCACGTGACCTACACCATGGTACAACATCCCACGTGACCTACACCATGGTACAACATCCCACGTGACCTACACCATGGTACAACATCCCACGTGACCTACACCATGGTACAACATCCCACGTGACTCACATCATGGTACAACATCCCACGTGACCTACACCACGGTACTACATCCCACGTGACCTACACCACGGTACAACATCCCACGTGACCTACACCATGGTACATCCCACGTGACTTACACCATGGTACAACATCCCACGTGACCTACACCATGGTACAACATCCCACATGACCTACACCATTGTACAACATCCCACGTGACCTACACCATGGTACATCCCACGTGACTTACACCATGGTACAATATCCCACGTGACCTACACCATGGTACAACACCCCACATGACCTACACCATGGTACAACATCCCACGTGACCTACACCATGGTACAACATCCCACGTGACCTACACCATGGTACAACATCCCACGTGACCTACAGCATGGTACATCCCACGTGACTTACACCATGGTACAACATCCCACATGACCTACACCATGGTACAACATCCCACATGACCTACACCATGGTACAACATCCCACGTGACCTACACCATGGTACAACATCCCACGTGACCTACACCATGGTACAACATCCCACGTGACCTACACCATGGTACATCCCACGTGACTTACACCATGGTACAACATCCCACGTGACCTACACCATGGTACAACATCCCACATGACCTACACCATGGTACAACATCCCACATGACCTACACCATTGTACAACATCCCACGTGACCTACACCATGGTACATCCCACGTGACTTACACCATGGTACAATATCCCACGTGACCTACACCATGGTACAACACCCCACATGACCTACACCATGGTACAACATCCCACGTGACCTACACCATGGTACAACATCCCACGTGACCTACACCATGGTACAACATCCCACGTGACCTACACCATGGTACATCCCACGTGACCTACACCATGGTACAACATCCCACATGATCTACACCATGGTACAACATCCCACATGACCTACACCATGGTACAACATCCCACGTGACCTACATCATTTTACAACATCCCACGTGACCTACACCATGGTACATCCCACATGACCTACACCATGGTACAACATCCCACGTGACCTACACCATGGTACAACATCCCACATGACCTACACCATGGTACAACATCCCACGTGACCTACACCATGGTACAACATCCCACGTGACCACACCATGGTACAACATACCACGTGACCTACACCATGGTACAACATACCACGTGACCTACACCATGGTACAACATACCACGTGACCTACACCATGGTACAACATACCACGTGACCTACACCATGGTACAGCATCCCACGTGACCTACACCGTGGTACAGCATCCCACGTGACCTACATCATTTTACAACATCCCACGTGACCTACACCATGGTACAGCATCCCACGTGACCTACATCATTTTACAACATCCCACGTGACCTACACCATGGTACAACATCCCACGTGACCTACACCATGGTACAACATCCCACGTGACCTACACCATGGTACAACATCCCACGTGACCTACATCATGGTACAACATTCCTTGCCGTCAACACACCTGGTCTTGCGCTGATTTACTACTCACGGAGCGACAGCCGCTGCCGTCAAAAAACATTCTCAGCCTACTGTTCGAGGTTCGGATCCTAGCTAGCCTAGGGGAACAAAACTTTTCTAAGTAAAGATTGCACACACAATTTTATAGTTACTGAATTGGTAAAATGTCCACGACAAGATTTTGTTAAACGGCTGGAATAGTTTAACACAGAATAGAAATACATAGCAAAAAAGATTAACTGGTTGTCTATACAAAAAATTACGCAATTTAAACCAAATTTTAACCCCCGTCCCTATCGCCAGTCTTTCACAACCCACACCCACGCACCTGGAATGGGGTCTCACTACCTCTGTTCATCAATTAATCGAGATGATTCTATCTTCTCTGTGCCAACCTTCTTGACATTATCTGAAAGCAGTTATGATTTTAAATATAGTAATTGATGTGAGTTTAGGTATTTGATCGTATTTCATTATGTACCTAACTACAGAAAACAAAACCTTTTTCTATTTCAAGAAATCTAAACCTTACTAACAATATCACATAAAAAAATTCTCTTTATTCCTTACTAACAATGTCACACAGAAAAATTCTCTATATTCTTTACTAACAAAATCAAATAGAAAAATTCTCTTTATTCCTTACTAACAATATCACATTGCAGAAAATCTATTGAAAAAAAATCTATTCCTTCCTCTCTACAACATCTTGGCTATCTGTCTCATTATCATGTTCCAACATTGGCTATCTGTCTCTATCATGTTCCAACATTGGCTATCTGTCTCTCTATCATGTTCCAACATTGGCTATCTGTCTCTATATCATGTTCCAACATTGGCTATCTGTCTCTATCATGTTCCAACATTGGCTATCTGTCTCTCTATCATGTTCCAACATTGGCTATCTGTCTCTGTATCATGTTCCAACATTGGCTATCTGTCTCTCTCATGTTCCAACATTGGCTATCTGTCTCTATCATGTTCCAACATTGGCTATCTGTCTCTATCATGTTCCAACATTGGCTATCTGTCTCTATCATGTTCCAACATTGGCTATCTGTCTCTATCATGTTCCAACATTGGCTATCTGTCTCTCTATCATGTTCCAACATTGGCTATCTGTCTCTCTATCATGTTCCAACATTGGCTATCTGTCTCTATCATGTTCCAACATTGGCTATCTGTCTCTCTATCATGTTCCAACATTGGCTATCTGTCTCTATCATGTTCCAACATTGGCTATCTGTCTCTCTATCATGTTCCAACTATGGCTATCTGTCTCTATCATGTTCCAACATTGGCTATCTGTCTCTATCATGTTCCAACATTGGCTATCTGTCTCTCTATCATGTTCCAACATTGGCTATCTGTCTCTCTATCATGTTCCAACATTGGCTATCTGTCGCTATCATGTTCCAACATTGGCTATCTGTCTCTATCATGTTCCAACATTGGCTATCTGTCTCTCTATCATGTTCCAACATTGGCTATCTGTCGCTATCATGTTCCAACATTGGCTATCTGTTTCTCTATCATGTTCCAACATTGGCTATCTGTCGCTATCATGTTCCAACATTGGCTATCTGTCTCTATCATGTTCCAACATTGGCTATCTGTCTCTCTATCATGTTCCAACATTGGCTATCTGTCTCTATCATGTTCCAACAAGACCTGCATTACACAAGATCTTAACACAGGGTCTTAAAGTCATTTGTAAAAGTCATTTGTAAAAGTCACCTCTGGTAGCCAACGTTGCCTTTCCCCCCCCCCCTCCCCCTTGTCCTGCTCTACCGTGGATCAAATGCCAAAGGTTTTATCTCATTACCCGCCCCTTCTCTCCTTTTGTTCTTTCTCCCGTTTCGTCATTCATTCCTCCCACTTTTGTTTCAGCGTGAGCCACTCTGTTTAACAATCGGTCTAGATTTCAGTTAACTTTACGTCCAGTTAAACATTCAGTTAAACATTCAGTTGAGCATTCAGTTAAACATTCAGTTGAGCATTCAGTTAAACATTCAGTTGAACATTCAGTTAACTTTACATTCCGTTAAACATCCGGTACAGTTAAACGCTCAATTCTGTTAAATATTGATTTCAGCATCATCTGAACACTTGAACACCAAGCTAAACACCTAGGCAACACCGTATTAAAATATTTTAAGACAGTTTAACTTCGTCTGCCATCACGTGATTGGCTAT